ATCGTGGGCCCGTCTTCCCCCCTGCTCTTCAGCCTCAAGCTCCAGTGCGAGTACACCAACTTGTTGGTGCGCTGGTGGTGCAGCTTGTTCCTGCACTTCGTCTGCACRAGAGCCCAAGTGCTCCAGTTCCTCTCAGCAGGAGAGGAAGTCGTCCATATCAACAACACTCTGATGGCCAGCTCACGAATCTYCRGATGCCCCGCCCCATGYRCCTCCCACCACAGCACCGCATTGTCCTTCGCRRCCCGTTTCTTTGCYTRAGGGGTGYCGAGGACTCCTCGCCCGAACGGGAAGTCGTAAAGCTGGTCCATGCAGTCATCGAATCTCGTACTCCCCTTCTTCCCGATGAGCCTCTCGACCACACTCTCAAACTGTGTCATGAGGTTGACATTACTGAAAACAGCCTGCGAGGACGCAGGCCTCCCTCCACCGGCGGATCCTCCAGTCACAACTCCCCTCATCCCCTCATCCAATCCCTCCTCACCCTCCGCACCACATGCTTCCTCTAGCTGATCAGCAATCCCACCTCCCCCCTCCTCTCCAGCACCTGACGCGTCAGGAATGTCGTCGTTGTCGTTGTCCCTTTCGTGCTCCAACGCCATCCGCACCCTCTCCAGCAGATCCGGTGGAAGCTTCACACCGATGCGGTGCAGCCTCTTCCAAATGGAGAGGTTCGCACCCGGACATCTGGCCGACGCCCTCGCCAGGATGAAGTGCTCTGCTGCACGCTTCCTGTTCCCTTTGTACTCCTTGTTGCAGAGCTTGCGGCGCAGTCTTCTCGCCCCGCGAGAATTGCTTGGCAGCATTCGCCAAGGAGTCACCCAAGTCCACACAACATGGTCCCTTGGGCAGGCCATGTCCTCCTCGAATGGCCCCTCCGCCCTGTCTGCCATGTCATCCGACGGTATGCGCCCCAAGCGGCAATGTGGGGGGCGCAAACGCGCAGCTGGTACACCGGGAACTGCAAATCTGGTGGCACGTTCTCACAAGGCAGTTACTTACGTGGCACCTGCTGACGTGGCAGTTCCTAACGTGGCGACTGGTGGGCCTGTTTGCTGACATGGCGGCTGCTGACGTTGCGGATGCTGTGTCACCTGCTGACGTGGCAGCAGCTCACGTGGCAGCAGCTCACATGGCAGCTGCACATCCTCCAGCGGCCGTGGCAGCTGCACATCCTCCAGCTTACGTGGCACCTGCTGACGTGGCAGTTTCTTACGTGGCGACTGGTGGGCCTGTCTGCTGATGTGGCGGAT